GGTCTGTATGTGGGATCCGAACCCTCTGGCGGGAGCACCGCCGCGCTTCCCAAGCGGCGCACTATCCAGTGCGCCACCGGGCCGGCCCCAACTCAGAGGATTTTTTAAAGAGAGGCTTGAGGGAATGGAATGTGTGAAATGAAGAGCAGGAAGGAGGGGGATGTGAGCTGTTGGGGCTCCATGCAGGGAGCCTGGTACAGGCTTTGACCAAGGCTCTGTCTGGTTTCTGTTCCCACTGATGTTATTTTGGGGTCCGGCTTTGGGGAGAAATCCACGTAGCTTTATTGATGTCTTTCTGGATTTCTCAGGGTCTGGATAGTATGTGTGTGGTAGCAAGTCTGCAGCTACAGGCTGGCTGGAAAACAACTTTACATTTATGTAAATAATGTCATGTTGCCCCGTAACCAAGGTTCAAAACATCAAATAATCACAGGAAAAGATGGAACTCAGATAAATGTATACTAAGAATAAATCTGTCTTTTAAAATCTTCTAGAGCTCATGCAGTTTTGGGTCCTAACATGGTTTCAGTTCTGCTCACTCCAACAATTTCATTTTCAAAGACCAAATTTTAGGCCATACCCACAGAAAGAGATTTCGGATAACCATCTTGTATTAAAGACTTAAAGAAATACTCCTATTTCATTTTTATAGAGCAACTACTTTGTAACTGCCATTGCCTTTTGTGCATTCTTGTCACATTTTGTTTCCAAACAACACCTTTATTTATGTATCCCCTAAACTTTTCACTGGAGTAACACAGGGAGGAAATGTAAATTAAACACATAATCTGGATTACAACGTACAGAAGGATAAAACACGGTACAAAAATACATATATATGAACAAACAGGAATTTTACTACAGTTCAAAGTGAACCATGTAATATATTGCTTAATACCATAATCTAAAATTAACATTTTATACCCTTTGCAAAAATACTATTCTAGCAAATATATTTAATCATATTTGTTATCTAAAAAACATATCCACAGATCAGTTTTCATTGAACCACTGTAAAAATATTTGGGGCAATTTACCTAAACTGTATTCCACAAATATTCTCAGCAGTCATATTGTGCCATGAGACCTATGTGCACAACAGGAAAAGTAATGTAGGAATCCATTAGGATGAAGAAAATTGGGGTCCTGCCCAAACATGAACTGAGGATTTTCAAGAGTAAACATGCAGAATGTATTACAGAGTCTAACTCAATGTTTTGAAATCTGACTATTAACACCTTTTACGCTTCACCACTCCATCTTCCTATTCTGCCTATCTGGGCAAGCTGATAATAAAGTCCAAGTGCTCTCTATTTTTTTTGCTGGCTGGTTCAGGGATCTGAACCCTTGACCTTGGTTCTACAGCACTGTGCTCTAACCAATTATCTGGACAGCCACCACAAGTGATCTATTCTTTGGCACCTGCAGGAAGTTTAAACCACATCCAAATACCACTGCTGCAGCACAACCCAGTAATCACCTAGGCCAGTCACCTTTTCCTCCTCTTTCTACAAACATTCTCATAACACTTCACTGTATGGCATCATCATTCTCAACATCCAAACCAAAGTTTAGGTGGAGTTTAGTTCAGTTGTAGTGGAGTGATCTTAAGTACAAATAAACAAAATATAGAGGTGAATATGTGAAGTTTTTAGTTTATAAAATCCCATTATTGTGGGTTGAGTATCCCCCCAAAGCTCACTGAAACTTAATCCCCACTAACAGTGTTAAGAGGGTGAGAAATCCTTTTATGGTAATTGAAAAGTGGGGCCTTTAAGAAGTGATTGGATTAACCCATTGATGGTTTAATTGTGGTCATGGGCATGATTCTGATGGCTTTAAAAGGAGAACAACTGAAAAGCTTAGCTCTCTCACACAAGCCATCGACCATGTGACACCCTGCATAGCTGTAGAGACACCACCAAGAACAAGGCCCTCACTGGACTTTGGACTTCCCAGCCTCTGAAACTGTAAGCAATAAATATGGCTTCTATGTAAATTACCCAGTTCCAGGTATTTGTGTTGTAAGCAGCAGAAACGGACTAATTCACCCACTGCATATGTTCATTCTGAAGAGGAAATAATGTCATTAATATTAATGCTTTCAAATGATCTCACTGAGTGCTACATGCATACAAATTGTATTATTTTAATGTTTATTCCCAAATTCTCTTTTATTTCATAAGTATTTTCACTTCATGTAAATCAAAGTGCATGCTACAGGTCGTAGAGGACACACAAGAAAAAGGCATATAGAAATATAAAATCGTGACTGTTCATCAACTGCAATGCATGGTTTAGGGTGTTGGAATCTGAAAATGTACTTTTTTGTTGTTGTTGCTGGCTGGTAGAGAGATCCAAACCCTTGATCTCTGTGTTGCAACATTAAAATGTGCTTCTATGAGATTTTCATTATACCCACATAAGTACATTAGGGCAGAGTGCACAGAGAATAACTCTAGTGAAATTTATGATTATATGTTCCCCAAATAACATGTTCATTGATTCCACCATGGAAAAAAATTGTCATACATACTTCAGTCTTAAGTTATGAAAAAGATTCAATTTTATTAATTAAAACATGAAAACTATAATGCATTCTGAATAAAACAGAAGCAAAATGTAATGCCAGCAGTTAAATATGAATACTACTCAAGAACACGCTATTCTGGTTCTTTCAATTAAAACTTCTGTGATAATTGTTCTGTCTTCAATTTCAAGAATAATAATTTTTTTTTTTTTTGTCGACCTTTGATATACAGCAACTATTGTCATTCAAGAATAGTTGGCCACCATTTCTCCTGCATCATTTCTACCACATAATCAGTCCATATTTCTCTCCTCCCACAAAAATCTCAGTGTTCTAAGGTCTTGGTCTGTTCTATTTCACATTCAGTTGGAAAAGCATTCTTTTCTGATATCCCACAGTGGTCCTCTGTCTGGAGAAGGGTGCTATGTCATGAATGCAATAAGTATGATGACTGACATCAGTTTACACTATTCTCTGCCTCTCACAAATGCTAATTAAGACAATATTTAATTTAATTTTTTTGGCAGCTGGTGAGTTCAGGGATCCAAATATTTAATTTTAAAAAGCAGCATCCTTGTTCTTCCAGGAACATGGATAGGAATAAACCTCCCATACGACTGCACTGATGGTGATTAATGTTTACATTCATGATGAGGGTTTGCCACTCATCGCATTTGTAAGGTTCCTCTTAAGTATAAATTTTCTGATATTGTGCAAAGTGTAAATTACAACTAAAGATCTGACCACATTCATTATATTTGTAAGGTTTCTCTCCAATACGGTTATCTCATGTCTAATAAGGACTGAACACTCATTAAAGGCTTTCCATGGTGAGGTGTGGTTGCCAAAGAAAGACTTTATCACAGTCATTACATTTGGAAAATTTCTCTCCAGTATACATTCACTGATGTGTTGTGAGTGTGAGTGCTGATTAAAGGCCTTGCCATACTGATTACACACATAAGGTTTCTCTCCAGTATAAACTAAAAGATGGTTAGCAAAGCTTGTACAAAAACTAAAGGCTTTGCCACACTCAAAACACATGTTTCTCCCTGTTATGAATTCGCCAGTGGGATGCAAGGCTTGCACTGTAACTGAAGGATTTGCCACACTCATTACATTTGTAAGGTTTCTCTCCAGTATGAATTACCTGATGTTTACTAAGGCCTGCAAGCTCACAGTAGGCTTTGCCACACGTATTACATTTGTAAGGTTTTTCTCCAGTATGAATTCTATAATGCCTTGCAAGGCTTGAATTTTGGCTGAAGACCTTGCCACATTCATTACATTCATAAGGTTTCTCTCCAGTATGGATCCTCTGATGTTTACTAAGGACTGAACGTTCACTAAAGGCTTTGCCGCAGTTATCGCATTTGTAAGGTTTCTCTCCAGTGTGGATTACCTGATGACGTGCAAGGTGTGAACTATAACTGAAGACCTTGCCACATTCACTACATTTGTAAGGTTTCTCTCCAATATGATTTTTCTCATGCACAACAAGATATTCACGTCTGAAAAAAGCCTTACCACACTCATGACATTTGTAAGGTTTCTCTCCAGTATGAATTTTCCTGTGACGTGAAAGGTTTGAATTTTGACTGAAGACCTTGCCACATTCATTACATTTGTAAGGTATTTCTCTATGGGTTACCTGACTGTCAGAAAGGCTTGAATGCATACTAAAGACTTTGTCACACTTACTAAATCTGTAAGATTTCTCTCCAGTATGGATTCTTTGATGATTTGCAAGGTTTGATTTTTGACTGCAGACCTTGCCACAAATATCACATTTACATGGTTTCTTTCTGGTATGCATTATCTGATGTATAGTGAGATGTGAGATGTGATTAAAAGCTTTGCCACATTTGTTATATTTATAAGACTTTCCTTTAATGAGTGCTTTCTGTTCTTGTATGAATAATGGAGAATAGATAGAATCAGTCCGATATTTATGAGAAATGTGGGTTTTAATACCGTTAGGAATTCTTTGGAGTGGTGAAACTGAGGCACCATGGTTGACAGACTCCTCAACTTGATTACATTCATAAGTCTTCCCTTTACCTGGAAATAACCACAGTTCAGGCGGATGTGATGGAAAGCTTAAACCAAGCTGATTCTTAAAAGGCTTGTTTTCTGCATCTTTTCTATCATGTTGATATCTTCTACTAATGAGATTTTCTTTCTGGGTCATCAGCTCTCCCTTGTAATTTCTTTCATCATCTCTCCTCTGACACTCAAAGACATATGTATTTTTCTGGATTTCTCTAAAGTAAAAATCTTCAGTGTCATGGTCTTTACGTCTTTCCAACATCAATGTTTGCAATACTTCTTTATTATTATTCTTTTTTGATAGTAATTCCTTAAACATACATTTAGGAGAGAGATCTACAAGATATAAAGAACCATATATTTGTGATTAATTACAGATGGTAAATAAATATTGAAAAATATAATATTACATCAAAAGTAATACTTACATTGAACAAAGTTACAAAACTTCACAACCATTACCGTCAATTTTTAAAAATACAAAAGAAATAGTCTTTAATAAAGGATGGGTGATTACATGTAACTCAAAGTCATTCTACAGAAGTGTAGTTTCAAACAACCTAGGATCAAAACATTCACATTACACAACCCTATGTTAGCACCGATGAAGGACTACTTTTCCACCATGACCCCAAAGCCCATACCAATTGGTAGAAAACACACGGCTGTCTCATGATTGGAGAGAAAGAACAATTATATCATATATATGTAAAGTATATTTATTGTGCACAAAAATGGTAAAATGCAGCATGACATACTGTAATGGTAAATAATGCATAGCAGACTTATGTAATGAATTATTTATTTATTTATTTATTTATTTAAGATGACCGGTAAGGGGATCTTAACCCTTGGCTTGGTGTTGCCAGCACCACACTCAGCCAGTGAGCTAACCAGCCATCCCTATATAGGATCCGAACCCATGGCCTTGGTGCTATCAGCACCGCACTCTCCCAACTGAGCCACAGGCTGGCCCTTGTAATGAATAATTTAAATAAGTGGTAATTGTGAACTGCAAAAAATAACACCACCGGGAAAATTTGGATTCTTCCAAATAATAAAAACCATGTTATTGTAATGAGAGTTAACTAAGACAAGCAAAGGAGCATCTCATCATAAACGTGGGACAAGATTGATAAATCTTATTAATCAAAGAAAATTATGAGTCTTCAGTATAAAACATGTAATTTTTTTTAAGATGACCAGTAAGAGGATCTTAACCCTTCACTCAGTGTTATCAGCACCACACTACTAAGTGAGCCACGAGCCAGCCCTTAAAACATGCAGTATTGTAAGCCATCTAATAGCAATGACTTGTTTTAAAAACCTTGAGGTAAATTATCAGTATTTTTCAAATAAGGACAGCAGGCCCATACTATTAATGTATTTAACTCCAAATTACACACAATGAGAAACAGGATTTGATCCTTGACCTGCAGTCTCAGACAACATGTTCTTATGCGTGATTGTCTACCAAGGTGGTATGGAGAATAACACGTCATAGCAAATACAAGGATCACAGAATAAATACTTTAAAGGAGATACAAGAACTGGGCCATGTTGCTGATAGTGTTACTCAGCCATCCCTTATAGACAATGGTATCTGAGTGATCACCTGAAGCACATTTTGGTTTAGGCTATGTCCTGGCAAAGTTGTCCAGTAGATGAGTAGGGGTCCTGCCTTACACAGTGAACACAGTATGGGAGGCCTGTGGAAACTGGGGTGTTAAGGAATATTAAATTAATATGCCTCAAAGTGACAGTATAGTGAATCCCACTCATGTACCATGTGAGGAAAGGCCAGGACAGAGGAAGGGCAAGAGAAGAGTGAATGGAGTTATGCGCATGTGGGAGCACAGTTTGTCCTTCCAAATATGTGGGAATGTAATTGTATTAGGGAAGTTAAAATTGTGATCTTGGAAGAAAAGAATTGACTAGCAAGCAGCATAATACCAATGAATTCTTAAATGCGGGAAATGCACGACAGGCAGGGGGCAAAAGGGAGGTAGTGTGACTATATAGGAGAAAAGCAGGCTTTACATCTCTTCCAATATTTGCTATGAAATTTATAAAACTGAGTGTCCCATGAGTTCTATTTCCACTTATTCAAGAAAATAGTATATATATAGATTCCAGAAGACATGTACAAGAATGTTCCTAGCATTCTGGACCTGGAAGCAAAAATCTGGAAATGGCCACAAAGAGAGAAATGAGTTCATTCTGTACCTCTGCAGGGTGGGAGAATAAAATATTTCATGTCTGAAAAACATAGGAATAAGTGAGGGAAAAGAAAAATTTCCTCTTAGAGCTTCAAAGAAATGAACTTCTGTTTTCCCATAGAACTCTCCCACTTGCAGAGAGTTTCCCAAACGTTATTTGGGTTTTGTTTTGTTTTTTGTTTTTGGATAGCCGGCCAGCATGGGGATCCAGACCCTTGACCTTCATGTTATCAACACCATGTTCTAACCATGTGAGCTCACTGGCCAGGCCCCAAACACTATTTAATGGTGGGGCTTCCACTCTGCTCATCTGAGCTCTTACCTGGGTCCACAGCTTTGATCCATTCCCACCCATTTGGGTTTCTTGCTATTTTCACTTGGCTCTTCACAGTCCAGGGCTCTTTCCCTTGCTCCAACAAAGAGATAACACTCAGGTCAAAAAAAGAGTTTCCTGCATATGAAAAGTAAGAAACATGATGTGCTGAGGATTTTCCAGAATCCCCACGCTAATGTTCCCTCACCTAACTTAAACATAGGGTTGGGATTCTGAAAAATATTTCGCAAATTCATCTGCTGATTGGTTTCTTCTAAATGCCACGGAAATACTATAATATGCAGATATCTAAGTCTCTTCCAAGAAGATTGAACCAGAAAGACAATGGTAAAAAACAAAATTGACTATTGTAAAAGTCTGCTATAAGGTTTTATGCATACTTTATCTCTGGATTCATGACTGATGTAACATGAAGGGGGCAGAACATCTGAAGAAAGGGGACAGTTAAAGTCCAGATGTTTTTTTTAAAAAGATGACCAGTAAGGAGATCTTAATCCTTGGCTTGGTGTTGTCAGCACCACGCTCAGCCAGTGAGCGAACTGGCCATCCCTATATGGGGATCCGAACCTGTGGCTTGGTGTTATCAGCACCGCACTCTCCCAAGTGAGCCACGGGCCGGCCCAAAGTCCAGATGTTTTATTAGGAAGTCTTTTTTGTTTGAGTCAACAGGGCTTCAGTCTCAGTCAAACAATGTGGGGGTTCCTAAGAGTCACACAAGGGAAAAACATAAAGACATACAAGAGCAGATTCCTGACTTCTGGAGGAAGTTATCCTCACCCAAGGAGACCAAGTTCCTGTAGTTCTCCAACATCACATCCATGTATAAAGCCCTCTGAGCAGGGTCCAGGCATTTCCACTCCTCTTGAGAGAATTCTATGGCCACATCCCTGAAAGTCAGCAGTCCCTGTAATAAAAAACACATTCTTCTCTTCACAACTGCATGAGTGAATTTCCCTAATAAATCCCCTCTCATATATTTATAACATATGCTATTGATTCTGTCTCCCTGGAGAACCCTAACTGTACTGTATTCTTACTATTTAACTTATTAATGTGATAGTGCAGAACAAATTTAAGGTCATGGAAAACATTTTAGATATAGTGTCAACTCTTAAAACATATAAAACACTTAAGATGATAATGTGTCTTTGATAAAAGACCATGGGACTGGAAATCCTGCGTTCATACACATACATACATACACACTTACATTAACTGAAATAAGAGGGATTGTTTCTCAATATCTCTTTTTGGTAATGTTTTCTCATTATTTTTGTTCATTTGCATGTTCAGACAATGAAATATATAAATTGCACTTAATGTAATTTCTCAACATTGCTGTGTGTTAAAGTATTAAGAAAATGGTACAACATAAAAAAATATAGAAACTTGAATTCCAGCAGCCATTAAATACCTATATTCAAAAATATATCCATTTCAATTTAGAAATAGAAGCATTCACATAAATGAATGGGATTTATTAGTTTATTGCATATGTAAAACAATGATTTAAGATTAGGAGATACTTTTTTTTTATCTTAATCTGTAGTATTAATGTATGTTCACAGCAGTACATACTGGAAGAAATTATTGGATAACAAAAAATCAGGCCAAAAAGGATATTTAGAAATGTAAAAACCCATTCTAAAACAACATTTCATGAAACATCACAATCAGCGGTAAACACTGGATACATTTCCCCTAAATTAAGGCAGAGAGAAAAGGGCTGCAGTCAGTCATCAATGCACAGGATGCCTGGGCAGCAACCAGTAGAGAGAGAAAATAAGAAAAACAAAAGGGGGAAGAGAATAAAGACCTAGAACTGTTAAAATTAACAGATGACAAGACTGCAACCTAGAAAAAGAAAATATTGGTTAACTATAGACGCTAATAACATACTGAAAAAAAGTCATCCTTTTTTAGTAGTACTAATTTAAAAACAACACAGACACATATACACACACAGAGACATATTCTTACAATCAATGAGCATTTTTGCCGTTGCACCTAATTACAAGACATGAGCAAACACACCACTGCATCTAATTACTCTTGTAATTATCAGAACTATGTGAAGAACTTATAAAACTCTACTGAAGGAGTAGTATCAGCCAGACAGAAAAACTGGAAGCCACAGAACCTACTTCCCCAACACAGACACAGATTTGACAACAATATACTATATGAACCAATTGCCTTTGTGAAAATCCAGAACCATTTTAAATGTTCCTGCACCCCCAGGCATTCACCCCATATTTTGGCTTTTCAGGACTGTCTGAGGGACTGGTTTCTCTCTTGCCTGAATATAAGCATGAATGTAACAGGGTGCCAGGGTATGGGCCACTGAGAACAAAGATGATGAACATAATCAACTTCCGCAGTAAAACTGGCAGAAACTAAGTGGAGATCCACCTATAACTTGCTGAAATACCAGACATACTACAGTATCACAGACAAATAATAAGGGATCTCCTGAGTAGAAACTGGCATGGCTTTTAGTTAGGAGATTACAAATAAAAGCCCACAGAGACTACATCCTTAGGAAGGTTCTGAGAGATCTCCAGAATCTCTAGCTGGGATGATAGAAGAATGCCCTGCCTGTATGAATCCAGACATCAAAAACTGGGGAAAGGTGGCTGATTTCTGAAATGCTTAAGTCCCAAGGAAAGATAACAAGACACAGAAAGACAAAAGGAAACCTGGTCCATACCTTAAGGCAAACAAAAACTCCACAAACTGACACTCAATAAATGAGGATCTGTGAATTACCAGAGAATTGAAATTAAGTCATATGAATGCTCAACGAGTGAAAAAAAAACACACACAGCCAACTTTGGGTAATCAGAAAAATAATGCATGAACAAGATTGAAAATACCACCAAAGAGATAGAATCTATGAAGAACTACACAAACATTCTGGAGCTGAAAAATACAACTGAATTGAAAAAATTAACTACAGGGGTTCAATAACATACTTGACCAGGCAGAAGAGAGTCAACTCAAGACAGGACTTTTGAAATAAGGCAGAAGAACAAAAAGAAAAAAGAATATACAAAAATGAAGACAGCCTAAGGGACTTACAGGACACCTGCAAGTGTGATATCATAGGTATTATGAGCACCAGAAAGAACAGAAAAAGAAAGAGGGGCATAGAGCCTTTTTAAAGAAATGGTGGCTGAAACTTCCCAAACTGAAGAGAGAAATCAACATATAAATTCAAGAAGCTTAAGGAAATCCAGCTAGGATATAAGAGACCTACACTAAAACACATCATGATCAAATGGCCAAAAGTCAGAGACAAAGAAAATCTTGACAGCAACAAGAGAAAAGCAACTTCCCATGTAAGATTTCTCAGCAGATACTTTCTAGACTATGAAGGAGTGCAATGATATATTCAAAGTGCTGGGAAAAAAAACAAAAAAAAACTCCTGCCAACTAAAAATTTGATATCTGACAGATCTGTCCTTCAAAAAAGGAGAAATTAAGACATCTCCAGATAAACAAAAGTTGAGGGAGCTGAACACCATAAGAAATGCTGAAGGAAGTCATCCATGTTGATATGAAAGAACAATAAAAGCACACAAAATGATACAAAAATACAAAACTCACTAATAAAGATAGTACATAGACAAATATAGAATCCTGTAATATTTTAATATAAGCGTGTCGATCACTTTTATATTTGGTATAGGATTGTATTAAAAAGCATAAAAAGTAATTATAAATTCATGTTAAGGTATACACAATATTAAAAATAGGTACTCCCACTGGTTCAATTGACTTCACTTAAAAAAACTAAAAGCATAGGGGCCGGCCCGTGGCTCACTTGGGAGAGTGCGGTGCTGATGACACCAAGGCCTCGGGTTCGGATCCCATATAGGGATGGCTGTGTAGCTTACTGGTGAGGGTGGTGCTGACAACACCAAGTCAAGGGTTAAGATCCCCTTACCGGTCATCTTTTGTTTTAAAAAAAAAACGCCTAAAAACATAAAATAAAAAAATTAAAACAGGCAGTTTGTGTCATAAATAACAAAAAGGTGGGGGTATATATAAAGAGGTAGAGTTTTAATACGTAAGAAATTTAAGCTGCTGTACAGTTAGAAGACTGTAATAACATTATGTTTTTTATAATTGTAATGGTAATGGCAAAGAAAATAGCTATAGGATATACACAAAGGAAATGAGAGGAGAATCAAAGGAAGCCACTACACAAAATCCACAACACACAAAAGAAAGCAGGAAGGGAATAAAAGATTAACAAAAGAATTACAGGAAAGAGAGAAAACGATGAACAAAATGGCAATAATAAGTCCTTCCCTATCAGTATTTATTTTAACATATTAAATGCTGCAATCAAAAGACACAGAATGGCCGAAGAAGAAATAAGATCCAACAACACGCTGTCTATAGAAGACTGACCTATGTAGGACACCCATAAGCTAAAAGTGAAAGTACGTAGACAGATATTCCACACAAATGAGATATTAAGAGAGCAGGTGTGGCTATACTTATATCACACAAACACAAAAAGACTTTACTACAAATATCGTCATAAGAGACAAGGAGAGACTTTAAATAATGACAAAAGGGCCAATTCAGCAGGAAGATATACCAATTATAATTAAATATGTACGTAACATTAGAACTCCAAAGTATTAAGCAAACATTACCAGAACTAAAGGGAGCAGGAGACAGCAGCACAGTGACAGTAGGACACAACAATGCTCCACTTTCACTAATGGATAAAACAACCACACAGAAGATCCATAAGGAAACAGGACTTCAGTGACACTACAGACCAAGTGGACCTCACAGATCTACGCAGAACATTCCACCCAACAGCACCAGAATACATCTTTCTCTCAAGTGCATGTGGAACCTTGCCAGGATAGATCACGTATTAGGTCACAAAACAAAAATTAGGTCACAAAAAAAAATTTAAGGAGATTGAAATCTTTCAAGTTTTCTCCATCCACAATAGAATGGATTTAGAAAATGATAGCAGGAGAAAACCAACAGTCCATAAATATGTGGAAAATAAATAATTCTTTCTAAAAAACCAATGGGTCAAAGAAGAAAACAGAATCTAGACACTATCTGGAGACAAGGAAAATGAAAACATAATAAACCAAAACTTATGGAACACAGTGAAAGCAGCAGTAAGAGGTGAGTGTATGGCAGTAAACACATTTAAAAAGGAGAGTGAACTCAAGTCAACAACTGTAGCAGTACGCCGCTTGGGAGCGTGGCTGCGCTCCCGCCGAGGGTTCGGATCCCACATACAGACCGGTTCCCGCTCACTGGCTGGGCGAGGTGTGGGCGTGACACCGAGGTTTGCAATCCCGTTGCCGGTCCCGGTCCGGTGCGGGCGCGACACTGAGGGTTGCGATCCGTTGCCGGACACGAAAAAAGACAAAAAGGAAAAAAAAAAAAAAAAAGAATTTTTTCTAAAATTTACCATTGTGTAAATTCATTTGTACAAGTCATGCACTGACTCTTGCCACAGAACTGACAACAATAGTTCCTCATTGAGACATGAGGGAGGATAGAGGATATGACAGGAAAAGCGGATGCTTTATATCTTAGGGCCTAAGCTGCATCTTCAGTTGCAGTTTTACTATAAAACAAATATATACATCACATGATGTTTAGAATAAAAGAAATATATTTCATAACAATTGGTGAAACGAGAATATGTCTCCATCCTCTCAGATGACAAAGCAGATATTCTCTGATGTATGATCAAAATTATAACCATTTATACCTAAAACACCTGCTGCACAAGAGTCCCTGTACGACCACCACAGTCTCCATTGGACGGATGGGCTGAGAATGGTTTAATCAATCTCCTGCTGTTAGAATATTTAGGTTGATTCTGTATTTGAAATAGATGATGGGCTCAGGTGGTTAGAGCGTGGTGCTGCCAACAAGGTCCAGGGTTTGATCCCTGTACCAGCCAACCACCAAAAAAAAAAAAGGGGGGGGGGGTGATGGAATAAACCATCCTCAGTCACTGATGTCTGTTTCTGTCCTTTCCATTGATTTCCCAATAATTAAGCTTTTGGAGTCAGACACATAGTCACTCACTCTTTTAGCTTTAGATGTGTTATAAAAACCATAGAATTTACCAGGTTTTGTGCACATAAACACGATAAACCATCCTCAGTCACTGATGTCTGTTTCTGTCCTTTCCATTGATTTCCCAATAATTAAACTTTTGGAGTCAGACACATAGTCACTCACTCTTTTAGCTTTAGATGTGTTATAAAAACCATAGAATTTACCAGGTTTTGTGCACATAAACACATGACTTCCATGAGCAGCTTCTCTAATCCTGCTCTACAGGGAGCTGACAGTGCATCCAAACGTGGCCCTAAACAATACCTGCTGCCCTACAGCACTGACACCATGAGGACCACATCCTGTCTCCGATCTACGTTTGGGAGGGAAGCCATTCCCATGCCTCATAGAGCCTCTTCACAAGTTTGTGTCACTGGCTTACTGTAAGATGGAATCTAAGTGGAGATGAGAGGGACTCAGGAAAGGCATGGGTGAGTGTGAGCAAACACGTCAAGCAGGACACTTCAGAGTCAGAGAAGATGAGCAATTGCAATGCCCACATGTCAGAAAAGAAGTAGACACAGAACAATCAACTGAGAATATCACTTTACCTGAGTGACAGCCATTCCTGATTCCTTTTCTTTCCTCTTCATCCTCTTTTGACCTTCCTCCTCAGGTAATATGAGTCTTTACAAGCCCATTCTGAATGTCAAAAATAAGCTGTTTAATGCTTAGATACAACACACCCCCTTCCTGGGCCAAAACCACACACACAGGAGAGACTTCACCATGTGGAAGACAGTTCTCGGCTGCCCATGGCATCAGGAGGGACGCAGGTACAACAAACTCCTACAGGAAGAAAAGCAAGTGTGTCTTTCTTCAGAACTCACTCCCCTGCTGGTGAATCCCACACATGCCCTGCAGCAGTGAGGAGCTGGGCAGGACTGAGCTCACTTCAGGGCGAAGACCCTACCGTTACTTAACCCCATGGAAGGCACAGCACCCCACACTCCTCCAAGGACCACAGGCAGATCTAGGCCCTCAGAAATGGAGGACACAGAGCCTTGCTGCACAATGCTGAATGTACATTAGAACCACATTGCCAGGGCTGAGCACCACTCAGAGGGGCAAACCCAGCATACCCCCCACCTTCTGGCTCTGCTGTCCCCTTGGGGCCTTGTTGTCACCAGTATCCAGATAGTGGGAGGTGAAGGAGCAGAAAGAAACATGCACAACAGGCAATGTGGACCAGAGGTGGGTGAGGCTGGAATTTTAAATTGGGGGTATGAGCATTCCTCAGAAATACCCCCAGAGAAGATGATATCAGAAAAAAGATCCAGGGAAGGAAGGGTGTGTGCCACCTACAGCTGAGGGGCCAGAATGTCCTAGGTAGAGGGACAGCTCAAGTGAAGGCCCTGCGGCAGGAGCAACCTTGACCACAGGAAAAGGGCAGAGGCCTGTGTGGCTGGAGCAGAGTGAGCGAGGACACAGTGAGGAGATGAGGTCACAGGTACTGCGGGAAACACGTCAGCCAGGGCCGAGGTCTCCAAACCTTTCTGTGCTATGCCTCAATAGAATTTTGGAAATGATGTATTCCTTCACTTGTTTTAAGCAAACACGTAATTTTTTATTTTATAAACTAAGACACTTACAAACACGGTAGTATCTCAGTATTTTACATGTATTCTTAGATGGTCACCTAAACCTTAGGAAGTTGGAGGGCTGGCCTTACCTGAGATGTGTACTGTAGGTGAAATTCTCTTGGGGGAGCCACTTTCTTTTTTTTCTCTTGGGGAAGTCACTTTTGAACATACAAAGTTGGAGATGTCAAAGAGACAACTGTACAGAAGATTCTAGATTTCAGGTGAGAGGTATAGGTGGAGAGGGAAAATGGAGACACCATTTAAAGCCATGAGATGACATGATATGGCAAGCAGTGAGTGCAGTCAGAGGAGAGAAGTGGCACATGGTCTGAGCCCTGGGACACTGTAACACGTATAGGACAGAAAGTTGGAGATACCAGCAGAAGATGCTAAGGAGTGATCAGGAGGAAGATGAAAGAATATAGATTTTTAAAGGTTAGTAGGATGCCCTCAAAGCTAAGAATAAAAAGTTTCAGGGAAGAGGAAGTAATCAGTTGTACAATACGATGATAGGACAAGTAAGTTAAGGACAGAAAATTAATTATTGGATTTAGAAGTGGGGAGATTACTGGGGACTGTAAAAGGAAGGGACAGTGGAATGGTGGATGTGAATGTTTGACTGGTTGGGGTTCATGTGAGGTAGGGAGGCAGGAAGTGAAAACAGACAACAGCAAGTTTTTAGTGATTGGGCTCTGAATGGGAGAAAAAAATGGGTACTGATTAGAAGCAAAAATGTAGTAGAGGATATTTTTCTTTTAAAGAACAAAAAATGAAAGGACTAAAAATGCTTTCTGTGTGTGTGTGTGTGTGTGTGTGTATGTGTTCATGAGCATTTTGATGTATGTTATCACCATCCGGGTATGCTGGTCAAAATAATTCTCGAAGTAAAAATTGATGAGGCAGGGGAGGAAGGATGCTGTACCATCCTGGTACTGTGAGCGGGGTGGTAAGTAGTGCACAATTGTAGGGTCAGCAACAGCCTGGGTCAGGGTCAGACCATTCCCAGGCAACACTTTTTTTTTTTGGTGGCTGCCCTGTACAAGCATCCGAACGCTTGACCTTGGTGTTATCAATACCGTGCTCCCAGTCACTACTGAGCAGAGAACAAATGCCTTGAGGAAGTCGGGTAGACCAGTTAGGGGAGTCGGGTAGACCAGTTAGGGGAGACATTTCCACTTGCATCCAGGAGCTCAGGGGAGGTACAACCACGGTCTCTGACTGAGGAAAAAGACAGATGAGGAGAAGTTGGACTTCTGAGCAGCTCTCTAAAGTAGAAGATGTAAAATAGTCAAATAAGGGAATGCAAGAGGATCTGGAAGAAAAATATGAAACCAGTCAATCTGGGTGGACGTTTCTTCCAGCTATGATCAGCCACAAGGGGACAGGTAGAGAGAAGAAAGAGTTGGAAGTGATGGTGATGTCAGGAAGAAGCAAGGAAGTAGGAAGTCCCCAGGAGAACGATTATAACAACAGTCCTGTGCTTTAGGGCATTTGACTTGAGTGACTGTTAGTAACGGGAAGGATTTATTTGTCTCCATCATTAAAAAAAAAACACACCTAGGTTTGGTAAAGGAGTATATTATGTTAGTTTACCATTTTTATCTCTGGTACAGACAAAAAAAACCTGGCATATATAAAAGTTCCTTAGAACACACAGAGTAATACCAGTGCACCCTCTGGCAAGGCCTTCACTTTGGGAGACTGATGTATGCAGGGGTCCTGTTTGTCCTTGGAATGGTCTTCATTGTGAGTGAAGAGGGATCTGACCAGGAACAGCTGAGGAACAGAGCCAATGGTCCTTTACCCAGACCACCCTCCTTGCTCAATATGTGGGAAGGGCAGGTGTTAAGTTCAATCAGAAAGGTATCGAGTTGGCACATGGAGTAGCTGCCTGAAGCTGAGCAGACGCACTTTGCCAGTAAAGAGCTTAAAACTAGGCACAAGGAGATGAGGCCTCCTGGCTGCCCGAATCCTTCAATAAAGAAAACTCCCTGATGACTAAGCTTTTTCACTTTGCAATCACACTGGCTTAAATATTCACAGACCCCCATCCTGGCTTGCTTGGGTCTCAGGATTGTGCAAGCTGATTAGTAGAAGAGCAGAAAGACAGTGTCTGAACAGAACAGTAGAAGAAGGTAGATGATGTGAGGGAGAAGATAAAGGAGAGACACAAGCAAACCCCTTTTCTTTCTCAAGTCACTGACTTGGGGAAGCATCAGATTTCCCAATCTAGAGAAGACGGTGGGAAAAGGGAGAAGTGTGTATATATGGCAAGTGTGTGTGTTGGGTGGAAAGATAAATTCCTTTCTCTAATGTGACCCCATTAGCTCATCCCATTCCATTCTACCAACTGCTGAGCACAAGCATCAGCTGGTCAGAATAAACAAAGCTTTTCCTTTCTTCAGTTCCTGAGTCTCCCTGCCATTAGGAGGCTGTACTCCCCACAGAGCAATCCCCTTTCTCTCCCTTAACTCTTTTCCCAGGATCTAGGGCCTCTCCTCTTTGGAGAAATATCTGTGTTCTACGTCTAGTTTAGCACACCTTGCCTCTACGTTCATCAGCTGCCTCGTGACTGTGTGTACGTGCGTGTGCATGTGTCTGTTTTGGGACAGGCAGGGAGAGGCCAGAAGAGAATAACCAACACTGACCTGGCAGCAAGGAGGTAGTAGCTGCATCTTTCCCAAAACAGTTGCAAGGATGAGCCTTTTTACTGCAAGTCACTGTGATGGTGTCTGCCCTCTGATTCTTGGAACAATCTTTCCCAAGGTCACGTGCCCTTACAGCATGTCAAATTGTGCCCATGGACCAGCAAGCCCTCCCTAATGTAAATAATCTACCACCTGAGCCTTAGGCCTTACTCTTTCTCTTTTTTTTTTTTTTTTTTTCGTTTTTTTTGTCTTTTTTCGTGTCCGGCAACGGATCACAACCCTCAGTGTCGTGCCCGTACCGGACCGGGACCGGCAACGGGATCGCAGCCCTCAGTGTTGCACCCGCACCTCGCTCAGCCAGTGAGCAGCCGGTCTGTATGTGGGATCCGAATCCTCGGCGGGAGTGCCGCCGCGCTCCCAAGCGGCGCACTCTCCAGTGCGCCACCGGGCCAGCCCCGTTACTCTTTCTCTTCTGTACTCAGATCCTCTTACAAACTTTAATGGGGTCTAACACACTCCATAGACACCCCATAATGATTCCTCCATACTGCTATGAAATCAAAAAAGGCATTACAAACATCAGTAACTCACGCACATATGACGGAATACTACACATAAGGACACCCAAAAACACACTGACCAAGGCACCATATTTTCACTAATAATAACTTCATCCTAAACAGGAGTACTACCAAAATCTAGTATTTAAAAAGAGATGTCTCCAGTGATGCATGTACTCCAATGAGACTCCAACATCTTCCAAGGAAACACTCCAAAATTTCATTTGGATCTTCCAAAATGCAACTGAAACCTTCCTGATTTGTGATCCTAAATACCTGCAAATAACAAAGGTAACCCCCAAAATGATCTCTGAGTTTCCCCATGGGTTGCATGATGATTTTTGCACTCCCAAAAGATGCCACAGAAATTTCTGTTTGAAGTGGATGCTGCAGTGCACCCCTGGGATCCACCCCCTCGGAACCAATGTGTCCATCCTCCTGCTGCCCAAGCTCTCTGTTGGCTCAGCTTAGGCCATGTTCTAATGACATTCCTGTGTAACTTTTCTCTAGTTATTCTACTGACTTCATTACTCAGAACTGATCATGAGTTTCCCAATTAAATCCCTGCATGCAAACCTCAGCTTCAGCATCTGTGTCTTAGGGAACCTGAGCTAAGACACTATGGCATTCCAGAATGATCTATGCAGCCCCACAACCACCCATAAACCCACTTCCAGGTGCTCCAGCCAGACCTGAGACTTTCCAAGACTTCCACACAGCACTTGGTCCCACAACCACACTAGGGACAGGTGCACACATCATTCACTGGGCTGTGAATGTGAATCTTGAGGCCCACCCTTGCTTCCATGCCCCTCCTGGAGACCTCTAAGGGCCCCCCCCTCCACTTTCCCCCCTTTTCCACTTCTCATACATGCATGTACAAGCAAACTGGGATAAAAAGCAAAGGAATAAGCTCTAGAGATCTGTTGTACAACACTGTACCTACAGTCAATAATGTATTAGACACTTAAAATATTTTAAGAGGACAATGTTACGTGTTCTTACCAGAATAATAAAAAAAATAAAAAGCACAGAGTTCCTTGGGCATGCACCACAGCAGGAATGGACATGAACTGCAAATGGAAGGGCACTGACTCTACAGTATGGAGAACAAGAAATTGGCCCTACTGAGTTAACTTGCTGGCAACTGGGGACAACAGAAAGACCAATTTTGAAGGCAGTTGGAGAGTAAGCAAGATTTGAGCTTAGTGAAGCAATCATAGAGAGAGGTCCCTGGTCTCATGGGGGAGGCAACCATTGTTCCCTTGTCTCATCACTCACAGCAAATTGCAAGATTCCCTAGTTCTTTAGGGGGTGTCCATCATGCCCTCTTGTGCTCCTGACCCTATCTGAAGGGGAACCCGGATTCCTGACTGTGATAACCTGGTAGAAGGCAAAGGCCCTGCCCATGATGGCAACTGGTTCCTGGTGATGTGCAGAGCCTGGAAGACCCGGGAGCTGGAGTAAAGCATGGACACCGATGGGGACACCCTAGCACACTGCATGAGGACAAGAGTCTGTAGAGCTTTGTGGGTATCAGTACATCCTTTTACTGTTATTTTGAGTAAAATAATTAGCCACAGGAGGCTTAAAGTTACATCAATTAGAGTTACAATTTCCAGAAGAAATTCAAGACCTGTCCTCATCACCTGCCCTAGCACCTTGGTCTTCCGTGACGATTCCCAATAACTCTAAAGCAGAGAAAGACCTCTGTAGATGGCTTCTCTGTCTTTGAGCCTATGATCCTGCTCCTAGACTTGTGGGTTTTGTTTTTCATTTTTTGAGAACGGAGACCTATTTAAATTTCCAATTACAACTGGGCACTCCCCCTTCCAGGAGAAAAGCCACACACAGACACACACCCAATTCGGCCAATCTTGTTAGGTGTCAGTGTTGTTCAGATTCAGAGTTTCTGGTCTAGTTCTTCATCTCCGTGTTACAGGTGGGCTCACTGAGGCCCAGAGGGTGAAGACAGTTCAACAAGTAATCCTGAAAAGGTCTATGTTGAGTGAGAAGAACATGGCATAACTGAATTCTGATATGGTGGCCTGGAAGGGCGAAAGGGCATGGTTTATCTGTATCACCTGTCCCTCTTAATAATTCCAGGACTATCTTTCACATGCCTGGGAAGAAGACATTTCTCTTTCAAGGTTTTCATCACATTGATCTTCAACATTTAATTCCTTTTTTCTAGAAAATTACAGTAAAATTGTTTAAAATATAGAACTGTGAACACATAGCTATTGGCATTGAAAACATTGAAAGAGGGTCACCTATAGAAATAAGCTCTAGGCTTATTCCTCATTATGAATATATGGGCTCTGTTGGAACAAAGTTCCAAGTCAATCCAGCCCATTCTCAATATTCAGAGAGAATGGACAAGAGAAACTTGAAGGAAACATCTACATAGTAGCTCACATCTCACTATCTTAACAGGTTACATAAAAGAGAAGGAAACAGTATTAGACAGACTGATTAAACTAGGTTTTGACGGTTAAAACAGAAGATCATTGACGTCGTTATCAAGTACATATTGAAACAGTCTAAAATTAGTATTATTACTTTTAAATTACTTACTAAGTACCAAAGAATGTTTCCAATATATGGTTAAAAAGTACAAATAATACAGGCCTTAATTGGAACCACACACAATTAAGAGTTAAAACAATTTAGAAAGAAAAAAAAAATCTAACGAATTTTGGGGTTAAAGTAAAAAAAAAAAAAACCTCCAGAATATATCATATTTAAAACAGAATGATATGTCATAATTCAAGGATGCAACCAAAAGTTATTTCTGAAGTTAACAGTGATTAATAGAGAAGAAACTCAATAAACTTAAGACTAATGTCAAGTTTCAAAAAGAATTAATTTTAAGGAATTTAAAAAAGAAAATCCATTACAGAAAAACATCACTCTTAATGTACCTTTCAAAAGGCACCCAGGTAGTGACAAAGTCAGTTACTTCCTGCCCTACTTCACTCCCCCACACCCTACCCCATCTGTAAGGAAAACAGAAACAGTGTAGTCAGGCTCCCTCACCTCATATCAGGCAGGACATGATCCAGCACATTTTAGCACACGTGCTGTGAACTAGTTATATAAGAGTGGTGTAACTGCACATGTACACTTATGTAATCTTTGCCTTGTTGCCACGATTATGTGTACTTTGGATATAAAAGACAACAGCTCTGAACCTCCAGGGCATTGCTGGCAGAGCTTGCATCTGAAATGCAGGCCAGCAAAGCTGGCAGAGGAGGCAGAGCAGTAGAGTGACAGGCCGGCAGAGCCTGCATCTGAAATAAAGCATGTCCATTGTGCCTAAGGCTGCAGGAATCTTTTTCCAATTACCTGACTTGCGACCTGCACAGGATGGGGCAGAGGGATTTGTGATTCCAGCCCGACACCATCCCAGGAAAAAGGAAGAGGGTGATTCACAACTCAATGGGTCAAGTCACTGCACTCTGGCTGAACAGGCGTTGCAAATAGGAGCTATCCTCTTATACCAAGAATTACAAAATGCACATGCCTTATAGACATTACTTTTGCAATGCTCATTCTCATCTCTATAATTTAAACAAACTTTACATTTGTTAGATTAGAAAGACAGAAATCAATATATCACAACTTAGTCATAATATTCAATCAACTCGCCACTCACCTGGACCTAAGGTCTCTGTCTTTCTTCATCACTGTGTTTCCCTCCTTCATTCTGCACATGTCTGTCATTCTCACCATCTCTCTCTAGCTCTTTCCTTCTCTTCTTTTCTGGGTTTCCCCCAAGTTTCTGCTCCTTATTTTGATTCCTCTCTCCTCTTCTGCTCTTTCTCCCCTTCTTTCCTCTATCCTTCTCCCACACATGTTCTGACCCATTCTTGCAACTTGTTTCACCTCATGTTGCTCCTTCTCCCCAACCTTTTGATTGTGCCCATCTCCATGTATTTGTGCCTCTTTCTTCCCTCATCTTTGCTCCCCCTCTACCCTCCCTGTTACACCCCCTGGTCCCCACTCTCTGGCACCCCCAGCTACCTAACGCTTCCTCCCTCCTCTATTTCTCCCTCTGCTCTCCTCACCGTTGTCTCCTCTTTTCATCCCAGCATCGCGTTGCTCTGTCTGCCATGACTCCGAGTCTTCCATCCTCTCCCCCCACTCTCTGCTGCTGCCCCTCCCCCTTCTTTGCCCCTGCTCCTACTGCTCATCAAGGGCCCCCTCCTTATTTTGCTTTCCTTCATATCTCTAGAAATCCCCCTCTTGCATAATTTTTTCTACCGTCAGCCCTCCCTCTCCTCGGGTTCCGCATCCACTGATTCAACTAACCAAAGACTGAAAATATTCAAAGAAAAAAAAAATACAGTGTAATAGCTATTTACACAGCATTTAAGCTGTATTAGGTATTATAAGTAACCTAGGGATGATTTAAAGTATACAGGAGGATGTGCATAGGTTACATGCAAATACTATACCATTTTATAGGAGGGACTTGAACATCCTCGCTTTCGGTATCTGAGGGGGTCCTGGAAACAATCCTCAGCTGCGGATACCGAGGGACGACTGTATTTGTTTTTCTCCCCTGCTCCTTTCTTGCTTCTCTTTCATTCTGTCTCTTTGCAAACCCCTCACCCACACTCTACTTTTCCAGTGGGTGTTTCCTTCATTCTTCTTTAGTCTTTCGGTTTTTCTGTTTCCGTTCAATCGATCTCTCTCACACATTCACACGGAGGGAGACTGAATAAGAAGCTCGCCTCCCGGAAGAACACATTTTCCAGTGCGGTGGAATTTAGGACAGAAGAAGGGTGGGTGGGTGTCGCAAGCCAGGCCCGTTACCTCCCCCAGCGTGGGATCAGGTGAAGCGCTAGTAGGATGGGAAGGCCTGAGGAGGGGGACGTGGTCGGGCGACGGTCCCTTAGGAGAGGAGTGGGGCCTGCAGATCCCAGGACCAGGAGAGGACGCGGCCTCTGCTGGACCGGGGCTGTCAGCGCTTCTCTCCAGGGGGCCACGAAGGGAGAGTTGGGCGTCAGGCCACCTCGCAGGTGAGGGACGGCTTTACAAACACTGGCCGGGCGGAGAGTTATTTCGCCAGCGGTTTGGATATAATTCTTGTCAATGAGGCTGACGCAACACTGATGTTTTTTTAAGAAAAAGAAAAAATAAAACAAAAACCGTCTGGAAAGGAGGTGTCTACATGGCCCGAGGGCATTACGACTGGGGACAGGACCGGCCTCAGAGCGATTTTAAAGCCACAGAGAGGCAACCCCAGGCTTTACGGCGACATCTGAATTTACTTGGGACGGAGAAAGCGATGCAGGTATTTTGAGGTCTGTAGACACCCTCAGACCCTGGGTACGGTGAACAGAGGATTTCGCAGCGAGATTTTAAATTAGATAAACGGATACTCACGCTCGCGGGACGACCTTCCCTGGCCATTGGCTTCCGGGTGCGCAAAAAAACTGCGCCGCAGAGGAGAAGACGGGCGGGGCCGGACGGGGAGTCACCGCGGAAGGTGGGGGTGGGGCCGGGCTGCGCTCCTTCCCGCCCCGCTGCCCCCGCCTTTGTTTTCGGGTTTGGAAACGCTGAAGTGTTTCTAGTCCTTCAGAGCAGCGTTACTTTCTGCTTATTTCAAGTTAATGTTTCAAACAGTTTTAAGATAAAGCTTAGAGTTGTGTGGGTCACTTATTTTGGAAACTGAGATGTTTTCTCGTTAACAAGTTGAGAACGGTTAAAGTCAAAACATATTTTGCCCTTAATAAGCGGGTTGGATACAAGCTCTGCCATTGAGGCTGAAGCAACACGAGATCTGGGAACTGGGGTCGCGGGGCGGCGGAGGGTTGGGAGGGGTTCTCGACATGGGCCGGGGGCGGCGATCGATCCAGGAAAGTTCCTGCAATTAAAATGAATTTAAGCAATTTAATTAACCAATGACTGGAATTGTGTGTTAAGAGGATGCAAACCAGAATGTGAAATGCAAAACTCTGTCTGGGCGGAATGTGCAATTTCATACTGACGCCCAACAGAATAGCATTTCCATTTACGTTTGCCATTCACCCTCTGGGCAGAGTCTTGACCCTGGGCTCAGGTGTACAGACTTCCTAGGACAAGACCTGGAGCGTGGGGTGGGCGAGGCATGTGATAATTTAGGACACTAACTGTTGCTTCAAAAAAAGCAATAACAATTTTTAAAATGGTTATAAATTGCTGTTTTTCTTTGTATTTGTTAATCTATTTCATACTTGAGATTAAGTAGACTCAGGTATCTTTGAGATAAACTTTGGGGACATTATAATTTGATTAAGGCAATAATATATTAATATAATGTAATTTCAAATACATTTTATGTTCATTCTGACTGTAACTTGAGAGCTTAGTTTTTTATTTAGAAAGAGTAATATATTTTAGCTTTCTTTGTTTTCTGTTTCTGAATGTTCTTTCGGGTGTGGGCAACAAAAATAGATAAAATAGATAAGCCTGTAAAATAGATGTCTTTGGGTATCAAGAAGATATTTGGATTATTTTCACCTAAAGAATACTTAAATCTGCAGAATTTCTAAAGGCATTTGTTAGGGAGTATATTCTCTTTTATATGAACCCGATGAAAGCAAAAGTAGATTATCAAATTTCCAATAGCCTTATTTCTACCATCAATGATTTTTATGGCGATATCCGTGAGTTTAAGCATGAACGTCTGTGATCTGAAGCAAAAAGAGTGAATTGTGGAGGTTTTCAATGAACTCAACAGAGTACAAGAGATGCTGACTATAGGTGAAAGTCATGAATCCATTTTGCCCATGGCGAGTTTTGTCGCTTGTCAGATTTTCAAGGAAGCAAAATGGATATAACCAAAAGAAAATAAAAGAGTAGTTTCTAGTTGCTTCCCAGGAAGATTTTGATATGCCTCCCTATTTTATACATATATGTAAAGATTTTCATGTCTCCCTGTATTTTTATACACACACACACATTCCTTTTTTGGCGGCTAGGCAGTATGGGAATCTGAACCCTTGATCTTGGTGTTACAACACTGCTCCCTATATTTTAAAACAAGTGACAATTATTAAAGATTCCAAAATTTGTAAAGCACTAAACTAGTTTGAATTAATGAATGTACAGTAAGCCCTGTGCCATGAAAACAGAGAACATACATTTTCTAGCACAGATGGAATAACTAAAATGTTTACCACTGTCAACTAAAACATAAATTCAGACTTAGGTAAATGATGTGGGAGGAGAGGGTCTTTGCAGGTCTGATAGCAGGTCCCAACCCACCAGTTCTTGACTCCGCCACAGGAAAGAATTCAAGCTCAGTCACAGTAGAAAGTGAGTAAGTGAGATACAGATTTCACAGAGAGAGTACAGCCTAGCTCTAGAGACTGAGCACGGCCCTCGCCAAGTTTAATACAAGAGTAAGACATATACACTTACAGACAAAGAGCAGGCTGCCCCAGAGTGAACGGCAGCCTGCTAAAAGCGAGTTTGATACAAAAAAACGAGGTGAAGAGGGATCTGGCTTCAGAAGAGACAGCGACAACCCCACCTTCTGCCAGGATTTTGCTTTTATAGTTTTGCTGTCTAATACATATTNAAATTCAGACTTAGGTAAATGATGTGGGAGGAGAGGGTCTTTGCAGGTCTGATAGCAGGTCACAACCCACCAGTTCTTGACTCCGCCACAGGAGAGAATTCAAGCTCAGTCACAGTAGAAAGTGAGAACAGGTTTAATGTAATAAGTGAGATACAGATTTCACAGAGAGAGTACAGCCTAGCTCTAGAGACTGAGCACGGCCCTCGCCAAGTTTAATACAAGAGTAAGAGATACACATTTACAGACAAAGAGCAGGCTGCCCCAGAGTGAACGGCAGCCTGCTAAAAGCGAGCTCGATACAAAAAAAAGAGGTGAAGGGGGATCTGGCTTCAGGAGAGTGTGGCTTCAGAAGAGACAGCGACAACCCCACCTTCTGCCAGGATTTTGCTTTTATAGTTTTGCTGTCTAATACATATTCATGCTACCTAATGAGTATAAATTACACTTTACCGAGCATGCTTGGCTATTAGGGTTATATGACCCCTTTCTGGATTTCCATAAGTCAGTCCTCTGAAGTCTCAATTTTCCAGTGCTGGTGCTGCAAATAGGTCCAACCAGCAACAGCAACTCCTCTAGGGGAGGGCCTGAAGGAGAGGTCAGAGGTCTTGGGGAAATGCTTGAAACCCAGAGGTGTGTCCTGAAACCCAAACCTTGGGAAACTGAGCACCTCCCATCTGATAAGGATTGATTTGATTTGCAGTAGGGAGAATGCTCCAACCACAAGATCTGCAAATGACTCAATAGCAAACAGAAAAGAGTTGTTTCTGTTATGCAGAGGTGTAAGTGATGCATAAACAAGGCTAGAAAGACCCAGATATAGGGGTATGGATGAGCATGTGGTATGACCTACAATCATCAGGGAATCTTTTACCCTGAAATTGACTATTCTTGGGAGGTGTCTGGGAGAAGGGGAGATGTTTAACTAAAGTTTGGTTAAGTCATCTTAGTAAACATTGTTTCAGTTGATCGGTGGGAACAAACAATTCAGTAATCATTGATAAGACAAAAGGGTCTCTGATGGAGTTTGGATGTGTTGTCCCCTCCAAAACTCGTGTGGAAATTTGATCCCCAATGTGGCAGTGTTGGCAAATGATTTAGTCATGGGGGTGGATCCCTCATATACCCTGGCACCTCCTCTCTTCCTCTCTCTTGCTTCCTTTTGCCAAGTGATCTGCTTGTACCCACCGGCTGCCTGCCATTTTCCGCCATGAGTAGAAGCAGCCTGAGGCCCATGCCAGATGCAGCTGTCCCAGAATCATAAGCCAAATAAACCGTTCTTTATAAATTACCCAGTCTTAGGTAGTTCTGTTATACCAAAACAAAACAGACTAATACAGTCTGCATCAGGCTTTTTCCTGTGTAAACAAGAGGGCTATCAGTAGTTTTAATGAAGTCCTATGGGGAAGTGTGGTTCTTTGCAGTAAACTGTTTCCTGCAACACAAAGGAGGAAGTGGTAGTTCTTTAATCTATGCTATTTTCCAGGATTAGAGGTTTGGACTAAAGTTTAACATTGTCAGCACATATTATGACACCATGCAAAATTCAAAAAACAATAAATACATATGTTACATTTGAAAAATGGAACATTAGAAACATTAAACTAATGAAAATAATAAACTTGCCCAAGACCCTTAACTGTTAAAATATAAACTTTGAACATTAAAATTTTAAATAGTTTATTTGAGCAAACAGGGATTCATGAATCAGGCAGCTCCAGACACTATCGGTCCAAGATTCTGCTGAAGGGGTGTAAATGGAAAACTTTTATAAAGTGCACAAGGAAGCAAGACAATGAAAATATTTGATTAGTTAAGTGGAGAGGTAGTCTTAAAGTCCCTAGTCAGAGGTTAGTTGGTAGTTTCTGATTGGTAAACCTTAAATACAATTTTCCTGGGATGTGATACTTCGTGCTGAGTTGGGTTTTGGTTTGCTTATGTAGGAACACATCAATTAATATCTCCTGATTCCATTCTGTCATTGGGAATTTAAAAATCATGAATTTTGAATTTAGCTTCCTTTTATACTTCTGATTCTTCTATTAAGATAAACTTGTTTTTTCCATCAAATACTGTGAGGCTAGAATGAAAAAAAATATAAGTGCTTATTTAGCTTCCTTTTATACTTCTGATTCTTCTATTAAGATAAACTTGTTTTTTCCATCAAATACTGTGAGGCTAGAATGAAAAAAAATATAAGTGCTTATTTAGCTTCCTTTTATACTTCTGATTCTTCTATTAAGATAAACTTGTTTTTTCCATCAAATACTGTGAGGCTAAAATGAAAAAAAATATAAGTGCTTGTTTCTTTTCCATTACGAATTACCAGAAAAATGAGTTGGTGCCACAAGGACCACCAAAGGGGTCAGAGAATTTTAGGAACGTGAGAATCAAATGGATTTTGTATATGTTTGATATAATTTAATCTATCAAAGACATCTTTTTCTTCTGCTTGGCTTCTGTGTCCCTGGACCTTGTGTCCTTTGAGAGCTTCCTTGTTTCTAGAACAAACTCACATCATGTGCTTTCGTTTGTCTTCATTTGGAATTTGCCTGTTTACTTTCTTATGGTGTTTCTGGCCAAGCAGCATACTTTTAATTTTACATAGTCTGATTTAGTGATTTTTGTTTTTTGATTTGTGCCATGTTAGGGCCAGTTTTTCCTCTCCATGTGTATGAAGGAATTAACTCATATTTCCTTTAGTGTTTGTATGGTTTACCTTTCTGTTTTTACCTCTCAGATTTATTCTACACATGATCCTTAGCTTTATGTCTGATGTGGGGAGTGAATTCATATATTTTTGAAGGCACCAGTAATCCAAACACTAATCATTAGAAATATTTACCCTGCTGACCCTTTAA